CTCACGACAAGACATGTCTTAATAATCGTTAAAATATTTCCTAAACATTAAGCGATAGGAAAAAAGAGTTGAATTGAAAAACAAAAATAATTTTTAATGAAATTCTCTGTAAATTCCAGAATAACATGATTTGAGCTAAAAATATATGAATGCGAGAGACGTTTGTATTGTAGTGAAGGGTAGAGTAGAGTACTGTTCACTCCATGCCATACAATGTTATCATTTAATTTCTCAGAAGTCCTTAATAATAGGGTCTTAACTAATCATTAGTGAGGTATTCATTATAGAAAAATACGGCACCGGTTTGATTGTAACACAAAAACAATAAACATTGCGCTTAAATCTTATAACACATTAACTTTATTATTGACATTGAATTAAATGATTTCTTAATCGATGCTAATCTCACGGAATGAGTAAATGGTTTGCCTAAAGAATATACTGTACTTTATTTGATGGCTTTATGAGTGTCTTTTGCGTTGAACCACAAGTTGTTAAGTATTAGACAAATAGTGATCTGATATTAGAATAACAGACATTATATAAGCTATTATTTAATACTGTATAAGACGTGAAGTTTATGTCCGTGTAATGGATTACATGAGAGAAAATTGCAGATCGTTTGCCAAGAATTGATAAAAAAGATTAAAATAATGATTACTTTCTAAGAAAGACTGCTTTTGTCTATAGAGATGTCAACGAAACTTGATTTGATGGCTGATCTAAAACTCATTTCATGCATTCATTCATAAATCTTAATTCATCGCAATGTTATTAAAAGTATACTTTTTATCTGTAAATATAGTTAAGAATAACATTTATTTCAATTCTGAATAAAAGGCACGAATAGTGTATTTTAATAAATAATTTTATTATTTAGTTTATAAAATATAAAAACATTAGTTTAAAATTTCAATTATGAAATAAATAATTAACAACTAATATGAGAATATATTGGAAATATATTTTACAAAATATATCGTCAAATACAATACAATAATTAATCAAATACTATATATGGCGAGGACTATAGCAGTTGACAACATCCGGATCGCCGTCGGCTCTCCTTCTGTATGGAAGCCCTGACGGCGACGTCAAACACTTTCTTAAGGCCGAACAGATTCTTCGCCGAACACTCGAGATATGCCACAGCATTGATAGTGTCGGCCATTTTCCAGCCCTCTTCAGCTGTCACTGTCTTCTCGGAAATTAGATCACATTTGTTGCCCACGAGTACTATCGGCACATTTGGCAGATATGTGTTGATCTCTGGCTCCCATTTAAGTTTGGTGTTTGCAAATGATATGCGAGAGTCAACACTGAAACAGATTAGTATCACATCTGTATCCGGATAGGAAAGGGGTCGGATTCGCTCGTAATCCTCCTGTCCAGCCGTATCCCAGAGAGCCAGACATCCCTATAATTATATCCAAATTATTATATCATTATTGCATCAAATGTTTTGGTGTTCGTGTTTTTCGAGTTTAACTCAATACTATTTACGACATTTATGACAACTGTTAAATTTCTCAATACTGTATTATTTAAATATTATAATTATATCTGAATAAATTATGCCATAAACAATCTTGCTTATGCAATTATATGCTTATATTGCATTAAATTCATATTATGTAAAGCATTGTAAAGTAAAATCATTATCTAATAAATCCAAAAGTCATTGCATAGACATAAAAGTTTAAGTGATTTGTTTGGTTTCCAATAAAAGGCATCAATAATTGGTAATTAATTTTGTTTCGTTTGAATTGTATGCTTAATGTTGAGAAGCATGAGATGGGGATTCAAGAACCAAACATGTAATGCATTGCAAATGATTTATTAAACATTATTTTAGATAAAAGTATGAATAAAATATTGAATTTGTTTTTGTTATTGCGTTTAAATGCAAACATTACTTACAAAAAGATAATTTTATTGGCCATTTCATATAAATGTTATTTTAATGTTCACTGATTATACTGTTTATTGATTTAAAGTAAAAACACAACATAAATAACAATTTTACTTATAATTACATGAATTTATATAATATTTAGGAATGCAAACAAATATTCAATATTTTAACCAATTTTATGTTCAATCAAATGATTTGGCATTAATATAAAAAGTCATTCATTTAAATAAAAACTATTATTATTTAACAAATATTATTATTTAAGTTTTATTATACAAACATAATAATAGAAAATATGTTAAATTGAATGATAAATTATATGGTACTAAGCGATCAAATATATCGTATATAATAAGGAAATTTAGCAGCAAATAAATTTCAATTGAATTCCTTAATCAATAGAAATAATGTTTAAATTATATTAATTATTAAATTAATATAAAGTAAATTCATATGACAGAGGGTTGCACTTAACAATATACTACCACTCCCTTCCCCTACCCCTCCATTCAAAGTAATTCACTTCGTATTCAATTAAATAGATTGAGTTTTGAATAAAACATAACATAATAACACAATTAATATTTATATTTTTATTCATTAGAAATTATTGGCAGAATTTTTTCATACATTATTTCATAACTTTTTTAATGTTAGATTTTTTAGTTTTCATTCATTGAATTAACCACTCATTCGTAGAAAATATTTTTCATTCTGACATTTCATTGCCTTTTGGTATTCAATTGAATAATAGTTAGCTTTCAATCAAAAATTTATAGCAAAATATTTAGAGCCATTTGTGCGCAAAATAAAATTTTCATTAAAAAAAATTATCAAATGTTTTAATACAAGAAGAAAATAGTTTATATTAAAAAATGTAAACTATTTGTTAAAATAATGACATTGATATTTGTGTTACAAATTGATTAGCCTTTTTCAGTAGCGGTTAAACTTATTATGTATATTATAAATGCAATTCTAGTTAAATGTATAATTAATGGTATAATACAAGTGTTAGTTGTGGTAGTGTTGCTGTCCATGGCTTTTGAGTATTGCTTTAATTGATACTTAAAAAGAAATAAAATCCAAATCAATCCGTCATTATTTGTGAAATAGCATAAAACATAATCACTTCAAGTCTTGTTATGTTCACTTCAAATGTTCATTTCATTGATTAGTTAAATAACAATTGCATTTGAAGTAAACACAAATGGATTAGCAATAAAAACCCTTAAGACTTAGCACTCAAACACGAAATCCTGACTTAATATTAACTGATTGTTTATAAATTATCTCAAAATTACATAAATCAGAGTTACAATTGATAATCCCATTTGGTTTGTAAATAAGTTATTAAACATCATTACACGGACTAAAATTGATTAGAAAAATACGACTAGTTTTTTAATACTGTATATATATTTGTGGTCTAAAACTTGTGGGCAAATAAATCTCAATTATACCCAATTGTATAGAACAAGAAAATATAAAGACAAGACAATAAGTATGTATTGAATAAGAAATGATAGACAAATATTAACTAAAAGTTGCATTTCTTAGTTTGACTGTAATTCACGTTTTCATTTCTCTCGTCAGTTAACCAAACGATACAAAAAATAGTAACCAAACAAATAAAATACTTTACGATTACTTCGTTTTCCTCAG